ACCGACGGCCCCAGTGGCTGCGTTCGCACGCGCCCACCGGACCCATTGTGGCACACCCATCACACGTTTCGCGGCCCCATGGGGAGCTCCACCGACGGCCCCAGTGGTTGCGTTCGCACCACGCGCCCACCGCACCAATTTTGGCACATCCCTCACGCGTTTCGTGGCCCCATAAGGAATTCCACCGACGGCCCCAGTGGCTGCTTTCGCATGCGCCCGATGGACAATTTTTGGCACATCCCTCACACGTTTCGCGGCCCTATAGGGAGCTCCTCCGAATGCGGTGCATACAACAATGGTATTCACAAGTGCATATGGTTGGATCCTCGGCCAGGCTGATGTTTCCAATGAGCAGCTTGTCTGCCATTCCCTGAGCAGCTTCGTTGCAAAAAAGGATTATGTATAACTTTTCCCAGAAACTAGTCGGTGAATTGCCGGATCCAGAATCGGTGGGGCGACGTGTCCTTATGTTGTTTCCCGTTTTCTCCCGTCGTTTTCTCTCATGGCCACCCGTATTGCCATTCGTACGAGTAATGAGATGAACATTCGTATCCGGAAAACGTAAGACTTGAGTTCGCCAGAACCCGGGCTTGCCGACTTGTTTTGACGAGCCCGTCTTGGATTTGGACCTTCCAGTTTACGTTGTTTGCAGCGGGAGGCCGCGCCAAATTTCAGATTGGATCTCGTCATTTTCTCGACGGCCTCCCCAAGCCAACCCGCGTCTTCCGAGCCCGAGTGTACGTCCCCTTGAGAGTCATGTCATTTGGATTCGTACGAGTATGAGTCGCAGTTGTACCAGGCGTTGTTGTCGTAGTACTAGTAGTATCTATCCAAGCGAGTAGCATTAGTAGTATGCCTGACACTATGATCGTAATTCAAAGGCTGCCGCCTCTGCCGCCGACCCCACATCAAGGGTCGTCCGACTGTCCCAGTGGCCTTCATTGGATGTGCGTCCGTAAGACCACAAACTCTCTGTTTCGAAGGATTGCAAAACAAACCCGAAGGATTGCAAAAAAAAACCGAAGGATTGAACAAAAAACCGAAGGATTGCAGAAAAGCCGAAGGGTTTGCTTGCAATCCTTCGGCGAATGGCCGCGGCGCCCAGGCGAGAGCTCTACGTTGAAAAGGACCCGCCCTCCGCCCGTGGAGCTGCTGCAGTCTTTTAGGACGAGTGTCCTCCTCCTCCTCCTCCTCCTCCTCCTCCTCCTCCTCCTCCTCCTCCTCCTCCTCCTCCTCCTCCTCTCCTCCTCCTCCTCCTCCTCCTCATTCCTCCTCTCCTCCTCCTCCTCCTCCTCATCCTCCTCCTTCACCTCTCCTCCCTCCTCCTCCTCCTCCTTCCCCACCTCTCCCTCCTCCTCGTTCCTCCTCCTCCTCCTCCTCCTCCTCCTCCTCCGCCCTCCGTCCGTTGTCTTCGGTCTTTTAGGGCAAGAGCCTCAGGTTGAAAATGGACCGGAGAGGTCGCCAAGACGAGCACGGATGGACGGCCCCAGCGGGGAAACCGCGGCATTCGGGCGGCGGGCGGCCCAAACGGGGAAAACACGAGTGATGTTCCACTGGTGCTGGAAGGCTTTTGAGCTTCTCTCCGTAGCCATTTTGGCTCAAGTTTTGGTTCAAACTTACTCGAGAGCTCAGTCCCACTGTGTGAGGCTGCGCAGCATGGAATCTAGCACGATCGTTGATTTGAATGTGGGAGGCATTTTATATACAACTACAATCGAGACCTTAACCACTGTGCAGGACTCCATGCTCGCTCGCATGTTCTCTGGAACAATTCCCTCCGCCAAAGATGCGAAGGGCCGTGTATTCATTGACCGGGATGGTGCTTCATTTCGGCATGTTCTCAATTTTCTTCGTGGCAATAAGCAGTTCCCATCATCTGAGACCGAATTGAGCAGTGTCGTCGAGGAGGCGGATTTTTTTGCTTGCATGACCTGCAGAAACTAGCGCAAGAACAACTGGATAATCTTCTACGGTCTGGGACCGATCAAACCCTCATCGAGATGTGCGAGAACACAAGAGACATTCGTAGTCGCATGGGCAAAATGACCATCATCCTCTCCGAGAGGGACAGTCGCATGGGTGCAGTTTGCAACAACATGACCAGCACCCTCAACAACATGACCAGCGCCCTCTCTAAGATAGAGGATCATGTCAGCGTCCTTTTCGGAACGTCTCACAGAGATTCGCTACCACTTTATCCCGGGTTTCCTGGGTGACATATTCAACCGCGTTCGTTTTGTGTTCAACTGCAGCCTAATCAGCGTTCGCTTTGTGTTCAACTGCAGCCTAATCATCGGGTGCTTTAGGTTCTTTATTTGGGTACTACAGATTCCCAGAGGGCCAGGGCAGAACATTATTTTTCGTTCAATGTTGAAGTTATTCCGCTGCTTCAATTTGGCCAGTAGAGAGCTAAGCTGGTTGGAGCGATATGAGTTGCGAAATGAGTTGGTCAGGTTACAGGACCTTCTTCTAGCATTCCTGAAATAACGAATTGCGACCATTGCCTGATGGCATTGAGCATGGGTGAGAAATCTTCAGTTGAGGATTCTTCTTACAAGGACAAGAACAACGCAAACGCTTGACATTGTGAGTTTGATGCGCTGCATAAATTTAGTAATGGCTTGCATCTTGTAAAAAAGGCTTTTGAGCTTCTCACATTTTCGGGGCTCTGCCTGAAGTCTGACTGAGTGAGACCAGTGCTGGTTCGCTCTGTAACTCTTGGCCGCTGGCGCCGAGCACAGGTGGATTGTCCAAATTAGGAAAATACGACATTCGGGCACCCAAGAAGCCTACTGCGGTCTTTAGATAGCCCAAGAGAGGGCGCCGATATGCCACCAGGATGCCACGAGAGACCCTCAACACGGGAAGATAGACGGCAGGAGCGGACAGGCCATCGACCTTTTGCGCTCTGGAAACAAATACGCTTTCCGTCCCCGTGCCAAGCAGGTGACGGAAAGCGCGCGCAGCGTGCGATCCGTTGGTAGGAAGGAATTAACTAGGGGAGTGCAGAGGGGGTGGCAGGGCGAGGCCCAGGTTAATACCCCCCCCAGGCGCGCAAGCTCGCGCAAACTCCGCGTAAGCTTCCGCGTAAGCGCGTAAGCTCGTCGTATTTTGAAGGCATAAGCTCCGCGTAAGCTCGCTTAAGCTCCGCGTAAGCTCGCGTGAGCTCCGCGTAAGCTCGCGTAAGCTCCGCGTAAGCTCGCGTAAGTTCGCGTAAGCTCCGCGTAAGCTCCGCGTAAGCGCGTAAGCTCCAAGACAGTCCAAGAGGCCTCCAAGACTGCCCGAGAGGCCTCCAATACGCCCCAAGACGCCTCCAAGAGGCCTCCCAAGAGGGCCCAAATCAGTAACATCTATTGATCACCCGATGGCTTTTGAAGGTTTTTGGGGTCCTCGCCCTTTCGGCTTCCCGACGCTCCATGACTTCCCAAGAGGCCCCTAAATTGACCCCAAGACGGCCCAAGAAGCCCCCAAGACGGCCCAAGACGACCCAAGAGGCCTCCAAGACGGCCCAAGAGGCCCCCAAGACGGCTCCAAGAGGGGGCCCACACGGGGTACCCGAAGGGATTGTTCGGGCCCTCGGCCCCAAGAGGCCCCCAGGAGGCCCTAAGAGACCCCTAAGAGGCCCTCAAGAGGCCCCAACAAGGACCCCAACAAGGGCAAGTCCTCAAAACTTCCCCCAGGAGGCACCGGAGACCTACCATGACGTCCCAACGAACACTCAGAGGAGGAGGAGAAGGAGGAGGAGGAGGAGGAGAAGGAGGAGGAGGAGGAGGTGGAGGAGGAGGAGGAGCGAGGAGGTGGAGGAGGAGGAGGAGGAGGCGCGAGCAGGAGGAGCGATGATGATGATGATGATGATGATGATGATGATGATGATGATGATGATGATGATGATGATGATGATGATGATGATGATGATGATGATGATGATGATGATGATGATGATGATGATGATGATGATGATGATGATGATGATGATGATGATGATGATGATGATGATGATGATGATGATGATGATGATGATGATGATGATGATGATGATGATGAGAGTGCGTGCACAGTAATGACGACACGGGGGCCGTACTGTGACACGAGTAGGGGGAAGGCAGCAGGAGCGTCGCGTGCCTCGCCCGTCCCGTGCTCATAGCCTTCTGTTGTTCAGGGGGTTCGCTAGCGCCGCCCGCCGCCGCCGCGCCAGCCCGTGCATTCCCAAGTGGCTCGTGGACGCTGTGCTGGAGGCTGCGCGGGGGACACTGCAGACGGCGGGCACCGCGAGCCTGGTGTGGGCTGAGCAGACCGCGCAGTCGGCGCCCGACCGCAGCAGGTGGTGGATCGTCACGGTGGTGGTCGCGGGCCTCTTCGGACGGGCAACGAGCTGCTGCGCTGTGGCTCTGTTCGGCTCGGGGCTTCGCCGGGCAGTGCATGGCCGATTCGAAGCCGATCGCACCAGGACGCTTGATCCTGGTGTGGTACGGCATACTGGCACGAGCGCCTCCTGCTCTGCTAGGTGCGGGAAACGACGTGGATCATCGTCACTCCTGATGGCGATGTCTATCCAAAGGACATTCGGGCTCTCGGAGGCAGGCCGTGCCTTCAAGGGTCCGTGCCGCCGGCGATCCCGGCCGACGCCATGCTGTACAGATTCCCGCCGCTCGGGCAGCTGCACACGGCGGCGGAGTGGCGGCAGATTTTCGACGACGGGATCGCGGCCGCCCAGCTGGAGAGGGCTGGGCTGGGCATCGACGACGACGCTGCTGATGCTGAGTCTGGTGCTGTGCGTGATCGGGTGGGTCAGCACGGCTGGACCGCCGACACGGGCCTGCCGGCTGGGCCTCCGCCCGCCGCCGCCGGCGCTGGGGCCGGAGTACTGGTGGCAGACTTGGGCGCGGCTCCCGTGGCCGGCGGCCTGGCCGCGCCGCCTGCTGTGCCGCTCGCCGCCGTGGGTGGAGGCGCTGCCATCCCGGGGGCTGGAGCAGCCGTGGGGGCCGTGGTGGCGCCCGGAGGTGGCCTCGCCCCTGGCATGCAGTGGATCGCGGTGGCCAACGACGGCCACCCGGGGGCACCCTCCATCGGGACCGACTGGAGCGTGGACGCCACTGCCGTCGTCATGGGCAAGTTCGCGCTGGTCAAGCTCGGGTCTGCCACCCTCGTGCTGGAGAGCATCGCGGTCGGCAGCAAGAAGAATGTGCTGGTCTCGAGGAAGGGCGAAGTCGAGCAGGCGGTGGTCCGAGCTTCGGGAGCAGGCCTGCCAGGAGCTGGTCTCGGACCTCAGGCGATGGGAGACGGGACGGCGGCTGCAGCGCCGCTCAAGTCTTCTGACGCACGGGTGCTGCCGGTGCTGTACGATCAGATGGGCCAGAGGTTCAGGGCCTACTCGAACGCCGTCGGGCTGCTGGAGGAGCCGCGGTTCGACGACTTCCCTGTGGTCGGCCCGAGGACGACGCTCTGGCTGTGCAGGTTCATCAGAGACCAGGGGAGCGCGCCTCGCACCAGGACCGAGAAGTGGATGCGGGACGCCCATGTGCCGGACAACGACAGGGTCAGGCACGAGCATGGCAGTCTCATGGAGATTCTTGAGACTGCGCTCACGTATGATCAGCTGGACGTGTCTGCCCTCGCCTCCTTCGAGATCCCGTCGAGAAGGGTTCAGCTGTTGGAGGAGGCTTACACGTCCAATCCGAAGGCGCCGCGGTTCGATGGGAGCGAGCACTTCCAAGGCCTCGGCAGGAAGGTCGCGGCCGTGGCGCCGCAGCTCACCTCGCACGTGGCGTTGCAGCTCCAGGGCGAGGCTGCGATCCAGAAGGAACGACGCAAGGCCCGCGAGGAGGCGGCCCTTGCGAAGAAGAGCTAGCCGCCTCGCGGTATTTCGATTTTCGTGGTCCTACTCGGGCCGCCGCCGAGTCGCTGTCCTCTGCGAGGGCTGCGACGAGTTTTTGACCAAGGCATGGCAGACGGTCGGCAGCGTGACCTTCTACCCCTGCCTCGACATCATGACTGGGAAGGCCCTCGTAGCTCACTCAGTCGTGGAGTTCAGCAACGTATTTGTCGCCGTGCTTGGATCGACAGGCGCGCCGACGAGGTTATTTGGGGTCTCAACGAGCTCGGGGGCGTCGGTGACAAGTCGCCCAGCGGCCCAGGTGGTGAGCAGGCGCGCGCTGCTGCTGCCTTGGCCCGTGAAGCGGCTGAAGCTGTGCCCTTGCCTAAGGAGAGACCCGCCCCGCAAGAAGCCCTGGCGGCGCTTCTGCGCACAGACGCCCGCTATGGTGACAGCGAGTGCGCCGGGAGCATTGCACCGTTTGGTTCGGCTTCAGTATCTCTGCCGAGCCGCGACCTGCACGGGGTGGACATCTACAACGTTCTGCCCTCGGACGCGTCGCACAAGCTCAAGCGGTTTCGCGACGCCATCCTTCTCAGTGACGAGGAGTATGCATTGCGTATCAAGAGCGAGGGACTGCCCAACCTTTACTTTGACCCAGTGCTGGAGGCACAGCCTGCGAAGTGGGAGGGTTTTTGTCGGGATCTGCGTGACAGAGGACTGGTACGCTGGACTCGAACCTACAAAGAAAAGGTGGGTTTGTTCTTTGTTCGCAAAAAGAGTGGTGAATTCCGACTTATGTGCGATGCACGAAGGACCAACATACGATTTGACATCCCAGACTCAATGCAGCTTGCTACTGGCGACTCGCTCAGCCGTCTTGAGTGCGCCTCTGACCAGACCATCTTTTCGGCCAGCTTCGACATCAAGGATTACTTCCACGAGCTCAGGATCGATGAGGAATTATCTCAGTATTTTGCTCTACCAGCGGTCCGTGCCTCGGCGGTGGGGGCGGGGGGCATCAATGGTGTCAAGGTTGGTCCAAGTGAGCTCATCTACCCGGCTCTGCAGTCACTACCGATGGGGTTTTCGTGGGCAATGTGGGCGGCCCAACTTGTCCATGAGGAGCTCCTGCGGCGGGCTGGTCTTCCTCCAGCTCGCCTTCTTCGCGACGGCACACCTCCTCCTTCGTTTGAGGGAGGGCCCGTTCAGCTGGCATACGTCGACAACTTCGGGGTCTTCGGCTGTGACAAGGCCGAAGTTGAGGCCACGCACCGTCAGGCTCTCGAAGGCAATCGGCAGGCAGGCTTTCACGTGCATGAGATCGAGCAGGTCAGCACCTCTTTGGACATCGTGGGAGCGCACCTCGATGGAGATAAGAAGGTGGTCAGGCTGTCCTCCGCCAGGGCGTGGCGACTGTACGCTGGGCTACATGCTCTTGTACGACGCGGGCGCTGCACTGGGAGGGAGATGCGAGCCATGCTTGGGCACCTCTGCTTTGCTTTCTTGCTTCGGCGCCCTTGCCTATCCTGCATCGCGGCCTCCTTCGCCTTTGCCGAGGCGGCCGGAGGGGAGCCAAAGAACCTCTGGCCGAGCGTCAAGAGGGAGCTCCTCATCGCCGCTGCCATCCTGCCGCTGGTCTACGCCGACCTCGGGGCTGGCTGGCTCGACCAGGTGGTTGCGACGGATGCTTGCGATACTGGTCTGGGCGTCTGTGCGGCTGAGTGGGACTCCCAAGATATACGGATCACTGGCAGCTACGACGAGCGCTGGAGGTTCAAGAAGGACCCGCTGCGCAAGCACCGTGAGGTCGCCTTGGCGGGATACGACCACGCCGACCCGCCGATCGACAGAGACGGCAACCTCGTGGCGGGCGTCAGCGAGGGCGCCTGGCTTGCCATCGGGAACTTTCCCGACGTTGCGCCTACCTCGGTCAGAGGCTCGAAGTGGGCCGTGGTCGCTAAGCGCCCCTGCGGCAGCCGCGAGGGGGCGATCCACGTCAAGGAGGCGAGAGGCGCCAAGCTCGGCCTCAAGCACGTGGTTCGCTGCGGGCGCTGGCGGCGCAGCAAGGTGCTCATGCTGGTGGACAATATGTCACTCGCGCTGGCCATGCAGAAGGGCCGCTGCCGCGATCCAGCCCTCCTCGGCCAGCTTCGTCAGATGGCCGCGCTGCAGCTCGCCACTGGGCTGCGGGTGCAGTGCCGCTGGATCCCGTCCGAGGTCAATCCTGCTGATCGGCCTTCGCGGCTTTGGGAACCTGCAGCTGCTGCTCTGGGCCATGCATGGCGTCCTCCTCCTGGGCTCCCTCATCCTGATGGCGGGCGTGGTATCGAGGGCGCCTGCAGCGAAACGCAGAGTGACGACAGGCATTGCGACACGCAACGTGGCGCAACGGATCGAGGCGGCGCCGGCGATGCATCTGGATCGCCCCGACCTTCGAGTGCGCGAAGCTGTGCCACTGGAGGGCGGCCAGTCGCCACAGGCCGCAGGATCAGGACCATCCGAGCAGGCGATCCTGGCCCGGCCTCCGGCGATGCGGGCCGAGCCTCGAGGCGGCTCGCGGAGATCGCGAGTCACAACCTCGACAAGGCTGGCTGCCGCCCGGCGGTCGGCCAGCAGCGGGGGCCTCTCCTACCTCGAGAGCGTCGCTGTGAAGCCCGTCCAGATCGAGGATTACCACAGACGGATCGAGGAGTTCTACGAGTACGCCCGCCGCCAGGGCTTGAACGTCAGCACCTTGGACTCGCTGGAGACGGCCCTCCTGGACTGGGCGGGCGAGGCGTATCTCGAGGGCAGGAAGAAGCACGATGGCGAGAAGCTGAAGGCCGCTGTGCTCCACAACTACCCGAACCTGAAGCGGCCCAACACCAAGCCGCTGGCCAGGTTCGAGAGATGCTTGAAGGCCTGGGGGCGCCGGAGGCCCGCGCTGGGCCGTCTGCCACCCCCGTGCCCGACGATCTGTGGCCTGGCTGTGGCTCTCCACCTCCTGGGCCGCACGGACATGGCTGTAGCCGTGCTGGTCGCGCTGAGCGCCTACTTGCGGCCAGGGGAATTGTGTGGGCTCCGCGTTCGGGACGTCGTCCCACCCGCGCTTGGCTACGGGCCAGAGTACCAGAAGGGGTCGCTGATCCTGGGGCCTTCGGACAGCATCGGAGGCCCCACCAAGACGGGCGTCTACGACGACAATGTGACGATGGACCACGAGAACCTGCAGTTCCTCGACCACTTCTTCGAGCTGCACCGCCAGGGAAAGGGGTCGAGCGACCCGCTGTGGGGCTTCACGCAGGCGGAGTTCGGGGCCATGATCGCGAAGGCGCTGAAGGTGTGCCAGCTCGAGGGCCTGGGGGTCGCCCCCTGCAGCCTTCGGCGCGCGGGCCCGTCGTGGGACGTCATCACGGGCAGGAGGTCGCAGCTGGAGGTCCAGCGTCGCGGGCGCTGGGCCAGCACGAGCTCTCTCATCAGGTACGAGAAGTCCAGCAAGGTCAACTCCCTGCTTGTGAACCTGGACGACAGCGTCCAGGAGTACCTCAGGCTCTGCACGGCGCACCTTGGAGACATCCTCCTCGGCACGGTGAGCGCGCCCCGACCGCCTGGCTGGAGCGAGGCGACATCTTCCTCGACATCTTCGCTGGTTCCGAGTGAGTCGGCAAGGCGGTGGCAAGGTGTGGCATCTCGTCGCTAGAGGTGGAGCTCGAGCTGGGGATCGACATTTTTGCGTCTGGAGTGATGAAAACACTCCTGAACTTGATCCGCTCGGGCCGCGTGCAGGGGATATTCGTGGCTACGCCATGCCGCTCATTCAGTATAGCCAGAAGAGCACCTCCCTCCTCACCTATGCCGAGTGCTGTTCGTTCTCCTGAGTGTATTTGGGGCTTTTCCAACCTCTCGGATCTAGATAAACACGTCTGTCTCGAAGGCAACCGGCTCGCTAAAGCAGCGTGCAAACTCGTTCGGCAAGCTATTCGATACGGAGTACCGTTCATGATCGAGAACCCTGCCTCTTCTATGCTCTGGCTTGTCCCGTTTTTAAAGCACATCGCTGAATCCAAGTTCGCTAAGTCTGTTGTGTTCGACCAGTGCCAGTTTGGGGCTGACTTCAGGAGCGGACCGCCATCTTGATGTCCTCAGATCTCGACGACTCTTTTCTGAACCAAAGATGTGTGGGCAGATCAGGTATATGCTCCAGGTCAGGAAAACCCCACGAACATCTTGAAGGAACAGATATCTCTGGATGGAAGACCGACCGTGCTAAACATTACCCTCCTCGTCTCTGCACTGCTATCGCCGGCACCTTCAGATCCCTGTGGGCCCAGAAGCACGTTGCAGGTTCGATGGCACGGACGACCGCCCCTCCAGGAACGGCCTCTCCCTCCCGTACCCGCCCGAGGCCAAAACATCTCTGAGATTCGGGACCTCTTGATGGTGATTGGGGACATAGAGCAGTAGAATTCTATGCTGACTGGTGGCAAGCCTGTGATGTATCGCTTTGGGATATCATTCTATTGGCCGAGTAAATCGTCATGAGAGTGCGTGCACAGTAATGACGACACGGGGGCCGTACTGTGACACGAGTAGGGGGAAGGCAGCAGGAGCGTCGCGTGCCTCGCCCGTCCCGTGCTCATAGCCTTCTGTGGTTCCCGACCCGACCCGCCCTGGGACACAGAGCAGTAGAATTCTATGCTGACTGGTGGCAAGCCTGTGATGTATCGCTTTGGGATATCATTCTATTGGCCGAGTAAATCGTCATGATGATGATGATGATGATGATGATGATGATGATGATGATGATGATGATGATGAGAAGCAGGGTGAGGAGGAGGAGGAGCAGGAGGAGGTGGAAGAGCGAGGAGGAGGAGGCGGAGGAGGAGGAGGAGGAGGGAGGAGGACGAGGAGGAGCGAGGAGGAGGAGAAGCGAGGAGCGAGGAGCGAGGATGAGGGGCGAGGAGGCGGAGGAAGAGGAGGAGAGGGAGCGAGGAGGAGGAGCGAGGAGCGAGGAGCGAGGAGCGAGGAGCGAGGAACGAGGAGCGAGGAGGGAGGAGGAGGAGGAGATGGTGGAGAAAGAGGAAGAGGAGAAGCCAGGAGAAGCGAGGAGGATGAGGGGGAGCAGCGAGGAGGAACAGGAGGAGGAGGGGGAGGAAGAGGAGGATAAGGAGGAGGAGGAGGAGGAGGAAGTGGGGGGTCTCTAAAACAGCATCCAGAAGGGGTGAGGGGTTAAACAGGTGGGGGACTGCTCGAGGATCGAGGGGGCAGGGGGGGGCAGGGGGGGTGTTCCTGCGTGAACGCGAACCTTTTTCGTCGGGGATGGCGTCCAAAACGGCGAAGATGGTTCAAGGTGGCTTCCAAGACGGCGAAGATGGCCCAGTTGCGGGCCATATTGTGGCCCGGTAGGTCTGTGTCGTGTCGACTTTCGGCGACCCGGGCGCGGGACTTCAAGGTTGAATTCCGGTGTGTCTGTGTGTGAGCGCGTTCACATTTGAATGATTGCGCGTCGCCCCTTTCACCTCCTTCCGTTTCCATTCGCTCTCCCTCCTCCCCCTCTGAACGTTCACCTTTGAACGATTCAGTCGTCTCCCGTCAGTCTCCCTTCTCATTCCCTCCTCCGCATCTTCACTTCCTTCTGTCTCTCTTCCCCTATTTCTCTCGACGGCGATGAAGACGACGAGCACGACAACGACGACGACCACGACGACCACGACGACGACGACGACGAAGACGACGACGACGACCACGACGACGAAGACGACGACGACGACAACCACGACGACGGCGGCGACGACGACGACGAAGGCGACGACGACGACGACGACGACGACGACGACGACGACAACGGGACCGGGAACACTCAGGAGCAGCGCCGCGCCCCCGGGCCGTAGCCACCGTAGCCACCGTAGCCATTTCCTTTCCCACGGGCCGTAGCCACCACCACCAACACAACCACCACCAGCATAACCACCACCAGCACAACCACCACCAGCACAACCACCACCAGCACGACCACCACCAGCACGACCTGCCACCAACGCAACCACCACCAGCACAACCAGCACAACCACACCAGCGTAACCACCACCAGCACAACCACCACCAGCACAACCACGACCAGCACAAACAGCACAACCACCACCAGCACATCCACTACCAATACAAGCAGCACAACCACCACCAGCACAACCACCGCCAGCACAACCACCACCAGCACCACCACCAACAGCACAACCGCCAGCGCAACCACCACCAGCACAACCACCACCAGCACAACCACCACCAGCACAACCAGCACAACCACCACCAGCACAACCACCACCAGTACATGCAGCACAACCACCACCAGCACAACCACCACCAGTACAACCAGCACAACCACCACCAGCACAACCGCCACCAGCACAACCACCGCCAGCACAACCACCGCCAGCACAACCGCCAACAGCACAACCACTAGCGCAACCACCACCAGCACAACCACCACCGGCAATCCCGTGCAGGGGCTGCGGACCAACAGTGGCGACGGCCACTGAAGTGGCGACGGCCACTCAGTCCACCACAAGTGATGACAAGCTCATTTTTGCTCGCGCCGCGGAGACACCGCGGTGCGAACACAAGTGGGCGGCCGTTTCGACGGCGCGACGAAACGTCGCCATTCGCTTACATGTCTTTGGACTTGTAGGCCAGGCGGCTCCACATCCTCCCTCCTCCTTCTGCCTCCTCAGGGACGGGGCGTTGGGAGGGCGTTTGGGAGCTTTGGAGCTTTGGGAGTTTGGGGCGTTTGGCAGCTTTGGGAGTTTGGGGCGTTTGGCAGCTTTGGGAGTTTCGGAGTCTGGAAGCTTTGGGACGTTTGGGTCGTTCGGGAAAGCGTTTGGGAGCTTTTGGAGTTTGGGGCGTTTGCGAGCTTTGGGAAGGCGTTTGGGAGCTTTGGCGGGGCGGCGGCGGTGGCGTCGACGGGGGCGTGCCCTCTCCTAAACTAACTTCTTCCCGGGGACACCTGGGTAGCCCCCCCGGCCGCGCAGAGCGGTCAGGGGGGGGGGGGGGCGCTTGGGAGTGGCGGCGGCGGCGGCGACGACGACGGCGGGGAGATTTCGAGAGGTCGTGAGCAGATGCTCTGGCAGAGATAAAGGCTAAGCTCTGGAAGGCTTGGGGCAGGAACAGATGCAGCTTGTGAGCCCCGCGCACTTCGCGTATCCCGCCCTCTTCGAATGCGTCGCTGGCCATTACGTGCGGTCCCTTTGAGGCAGGGGGCGAGCCGATGAACATTCCTGCGCCGTGTGCGAGTTGGTCTGCGTTTGGGTGCGAATCGGTCTGCGTTGTCCTGTGGAGATTTCCGGGGTCTTGGGGTCCTTCCGTGCTTCGGGGAAGCGTGAGATTGTCCATGTGAGCCCCAGCTTGATCAGTTCCCAGTGCTCCCAGTTCTTGTGTTTTGTATTTCGACAGAACGTCGGGCATCTGAAGCAGCAGCAGGTAGAGCATTACTAAATAGCCTTCCGCAAATCCCGCCACCGTGCCTGGTTTTGCGAGCCGCGTCGTTAGAGGTGCCTCTGGGCATTCGCCCGACCTGCCAGGGCATTTCCGCGATTTGCCGTCCTCTCGTTTTTTCATTGTTTTTTCGCGCTCTTTCCAGTCTTTTCGTGCCTTTTTCGTGTTTTTACAAGCTCCGAGAAATGTTTTTTCTATTTTCCGGGGCTCCGGAGGCGCTCTGGGGGCGCCAAAAGCCAGACTTTTTTTGTCCCAGGGGCCGCAGGGACGGAAAAATAAATTTGCCGGGCCTCGAAACATGCTTTTTCGGCTTCCCGGGCCTCCAGAGGCACTCTTGGGGCGCCAAAGCGGATTTTTTTGGCTCCGGGGGCCGCAGGGACGGAAAAATCAATATTCGAGGCTTCGAAAACATATATTTTGGGGTTTCCTGGGGCTCCGGAAGCGCTTTGGGGGCGTCCAAACGGATTTTGTTTTGCTCCGGGGGCCGCTGGGACAGACAAATCAATTTTCCATTCGTCGAAATATGTTTTTTCGGTTTCCTGAGGCTCTGGGAGCGCCAATACGGATTTTTTGTTGTTCCGAGGGCCGCAGGGACGGAAAAATCAATTTCCCAGGTTTCGAAACATGCTTTTTCGGTTCCCCGGGGCTGCGGAGGCGTCGCGGGGGCGCCAACAGCAACATTTCTCTCCTCCGGGAGCCGCGGGGACGGAAAATATAATTTTCCAAAACTTTGAGAAATGCGTTTTCCCCATATCCTAAGATTGGGGCTCTTGTTCCCCCCCATATCCTTAGATTGGGGTTCTTATTATTCCCCATATCCTAAGATTGGAGTTATTGTTATTACTCTGACCGCGCCAGAAGAACACACACCACCTCCCCCTCCACTCTCTCATCACCCAGACTCACTCATCACTCAGACTCACTCATCATTCAGACTCACTCATCATTCATACTCACTCATGCTCAGTCACCACTCAGACTCACTCATCACTCAGACTCACTCATTGCGCAGGCTCACTCATCACCCAGACTCACTCATCACTCAGACTCCTACACTCATCACGCTCACTCAGACTCACTCATCGGATCACTCACAAACACACACACACACACACTGAATGCGGAGGATGTCTC